GTTATATATTAGTTCTGCAATCTGAGTAAAAGACAGAGGATATTTTAAATGTATTATGGGTTATATTTAGAATTGGTGAAGTTGATTTATCAAATTCAAAGGCCAAGTCCTGCCCCTGGATGTGTCCAGTGCATAAATGTGCATCCCTGACCGGAAGAGCATATGTTTTAAATGCGATGCTGCCTTGCTAATGGGATCTTTAGGAGGTGGAGGTGTGCCCTGGACATAAGTCACCTGCTGCTGCCATACTCACAGTTCACAGTGACCTTGACTTGTTTGACGTCAGCTGAGGAGACCTCATTGGCTGCTTTGCACTCATATTTGCCTGACTGCTCCCTGGTGATGCCAAGGATTTCCAGATATTCTTCTTCTCCTTCAACTTCTCTGCCTGAAAAACACAAGTTTGCATGACTGTTTTTTTTTTTTAAGTCTAAAATATGCTGGAGATTGCCTCATTATTCTTTGTAAAAGCAATAAATTCACATTTTAAAATAATTTGTCAATGTGCTTTGTCTGAGGTCAGGTTCTACAAAAGGAGAACCCCAAGACAAAAAGTCTTGTGAAAGTGATTAAGTAGGGAGGGTTCTCAAGGACGACTGCTAGAGGAGTGGGAAAGTGGGGTCTATAAGGGAAAGAAGCCAAGCAAAGATGTGATCATGCCATGCCAAGTCCCACAGAGAGGAACTTGGCTCAGTGCTTCAAGAAGAAATGGGGACAGTTGTGCTGATCACAAGCCAAAGTGCTGGAGTGTTTATACATTTATATCTGTCAGTCACTGGTTAGGGTTTTAGAGCAAGGTAGCAATGGGGGAGGTGCACTTGTATTGTATAGCACTCTGAGGGGTCATGGGTGAAGCACTACCATTATCAATTACATCTTTATCCCAAAGTGGCTGTTAGAAGAAGTGGCTTCCTTTTGAGAAACCACCACTCCTCTAGAGTTTATGTGGAATTCTTTTCACAAGGATCATGTGCTAAATCCTGTCTTGCAGTTATGGTTTCCTTGTGATCTGTCATCCTTGGATGACATGATCTGGTGATATACAGGCAAAGTGTTTTGTGAGAGACTAAGACACCTTTGGCTGTGAGTAGGGAGCTAAATATTATTGGTTTTTAACAGTTGGGATTGAGGGCATAGAGGACCTGTTTGGAAAGATGTACAGAGTTAGCTGTGTCCATTTTAATAAAGAGGGAAGCTTGTTTAAATTTCCCCCATGTGGGGTATAATTAATTATATGACCGTTTTGCTGAAGAGATTGAAAGAAAAAAGGATGGAGAAGTGGAAGGAGAGGGAAAGAAAAGTGAGAAAGAGAGTAGAGAAAAAAAAGCCTGGTCAGCTGCAAGAGCTACCCAGAGCTTGGCTAGAAAGGTCTATTGAATTTAACTGTGGTTACATGGAAGCTCCCCTTGCCTCCCCACAAAAGGTCTGCTCCAGTGACAACTGGATTGGGATAGAGCATCTGGGAAGTTATTAAAGAACACAGTCCTGCCACCATGATGGAATTTTACTCCTGGTCATCTTACACTAAATGGTAGCAATCACTAGCTCTCCTGAAATGCCAAAGCTGCTTCCCTTTTCTGGAAATTCCCTGATGGCCAAATCAACATAACAACCAGACAGCATGGATCTGAATTCACTGTCTAAATATGTCAGCCATGCCTGTTAACTAGGCTGCTAAAGGAACCTAGGACTTTGATAACATTCTATAGCACAACTGGCAGGACCACTGGAAAGTTTTAAGTCTCTGTCAAGTGTCAGGATCACTATGATTCTTTTTGGTACTGGGGATCTAACCCATGGGTTATCACTGAGGTACAACCCAAGTCCTTTTTATTTTTATTTTTTTATTTTGAAATACAGCCTTGCTAAGTTGCCCAGGACAGGCTCAAAATTGCAATTCCCTTGCCTCAGTTTCCCTCAGTGTTAGAATGACAAGCACATGTCACTACCACACCCAGAAAAATCAAAAGTTTTGAGGAAATTTCACAAACCCAACAAAAAATAGGGCAGTAGTAATATAAAATTATTCAGCTTTGAAATTCTGCTCATTATCTAGCCCTGCTTCCACTTAATATGTTTTAGAATTGGTCTATGGTGTAAAGTGAATATTATTTATAAAGTGCTAATTTTGTTTTCTGTCTTTGCTTTCCCCTTTCTCCTTCCCCATATTAAAGCAAGAAGTCAGATTTGATTTTGTCTTACAGAGTGTACTATAGTAGAAAAGAAAACCAAAGTCTCAGATGACTTTATAGGGTTAACTGGGTAGGATTTGGACTTGGAGTTGAAAAAAATCTTTTGAGTATGAAATGTGATAGAAAAATATGGTGAATGTTTAAATAAAAAATTATAGTAAAATAATCTCACTCAAAATCCTACTCTTCACTTCAAGAATACTTATTATTCTTTCCACTTTCTGAAGCAATTCTAAAGTCCTTCTTCACAAATGTCTTCAGTTGCACGATCATGGCTGCCTCAATGTTCTGGATCAATTAAAAACATGGCACTGGGCTGGGGATTTAGCTCAGTGTTTCCGCTGCCTGCCTTGCAAGTGCAAGGTCCCAAGTTTGATCCCCGGTACCAAAAAAAAAAAACAAAAACATGGTCACTTTGATTTTGTGGAAGAGCCAGAAGATGTACTGTGCCAGATCCAGTGAATAAGGTGGATGAGGACACATCATAATGTTTCTACAAGTCTGCCTTTCAACTGGATGGCACTCAGCAGCAGTATTCACTATTTTCAAGATCATCCCTTGTAAAGACACTCTTGAAAGAAAACTTCCAGAACTGCTTCAGAAAGTGGCAAGAATGATGGAACAAGTGTGTTTGAAGTAAGAGGAGTATTTTGAAGAGGATTAATGGCAATGTGTCTTTTACTGTAATAAATTTCTTAAATTTATAGTCCCTGTATATTTTATCATACCTCATATACATGTGTCTGTGGACTCAGAGTCATGGCATCTATTAGGTGCCAAGAGTTAAATGCCCTGATGACTAACAGCAATTTTGATTATTAGTTTTTATTCAACAAGCTGAAGTAAGTGTAAGCTAATTAAAAAATGAAGTGTAGAGGTGGAATAAATAGCAAGATAGCATTATTGATATTGATCATTGGTATATTACAATAAGAAAAGTTAAAAATCACTCAGAATGTTTTAGTATTTCTTGCCACCCTCTTCCATAGCCATAACTCTTATACTAAGATAGGGACAGAGTTTTTAGTAGAAGAGAGAATAAGAAGAATCATAGAGATGGTTGAAATACTGAATTCTTTTCAATTCCCATAAAATTATTACAAATGGTGGGCCCTGGATCACTACTTCCTATTTTTAATAACTTAAAAGAATAAACTAGTTACAGGAGAAGGAAAGAGGATTTTAGCAGCACCAACCAATACCTGACCAGTTTGATAAGATGTGAGGGTAAATACTAAAATGAATGAAATAAAACAGAGCAGCATTTATTAGATTTGTGGCTTGGGATTCTTACAATGCCAGTATATGTGCCAATCTCATTTCCTGATAAGCAAGTAGGAAAACTCATCCTCATCAGATAAATTTATATCTCATGTCTCTAGGAAGAATTTTGAGGATGAAAGGGGAGCTTTTCCTTAAATTATCCCCATATTAGGCAGAGATGATTTTTCTTTCTTTCCTCCTCCTGTGGCTGCATCCGTCTGCATCCAGCACACAAGGTTGCAGAAGAGTCCCACTAAAGTGGAGGAATCTCAGGGCACAAACTAAATTCAGGTAAGAGGAACTATGGGATCCTCTCTCATCCTCGCAATCTGGCAAGAATTTAAAATACTGAGTAAGACCCTTGGGATCTTGTCATTTTTCTTTTACTTACCCCTGGGATCCTCTTATTGAAACTCTTTACTTTCACTGATGTTTCTTGCTAATTTTTCTACTCGAATCTTCAAGAGACACCCTCACAATTTGTTATATGCACTACTTCACTTAAAATTTTCTCATTAATCCAGACTACTTTGGTTAGAAGCTTTTCTGTTCCAAAACACTCAGATTTATGTTCCTTGGGGACTATGTCTTACTCTTAGTAGTCCCATGCTCCTGCACAGGGTTTGGCACAGACTAGGTAGTCAATAAATGTTTACTGAATTAGCTTACTATTGCTAAAATGCTCCACAATTTATAGGCCAAAAATTATCAGTGTGATGGTATGGAGGTGAGGCCTTGGGGAGGCCAGTAGAGCCTAAGAATGGAGCTCTCATGAAAAAGATTAGTGCTCTCATAAAAGAGGCTCCAGAGAGCACCCATGTCCCTTCTTCCATGTGAGGACACAGGAAAAAGGGGTCGTGTGTAGACCAAGAAGTGAGTCCTCTCAGACAAAGAAATTTGCTGGTACTTTGATCTTGATTTTCTATCATTCAGAACAATGAGAAATAAGTTCCTGTTGTTTGTAAGCTACACAGTTTAGGGTATTTTTTATTATTGTGGTCTAAATGTAAGGGGACACAACTGAACAGTGTCAAGAAAGACAAGCAGATACTAGAGTCACATCCAACACTTCATATAGCTTCAGAGAATGGAGCTGAATATTGGAAGGTGACTGAGCATTTCTGCAAAGGAAGCTACCACAAGAATCCATTCCCTTTACATGACCCTAATAGAGTACCACATTGCTGGGGTGTGCAAAATACCCTTCAATTAAAATCTGGACACACTCACTTCTGGCCTGAGGTTGTAACTGCTCTATGGAGTCATTGTTTCAGAAACCAGCCGAGCCTGCTAAGGAAACAGGCTGGATCACGTGCTATTCCTTTCTATTATTTTAAGGCTTGGAAGAAGGCATGTGAATTCTGAGTTCCCAAATCCTACAGCACACTCAGTTTCTCCTGCTCTTGTTCCTTTGGCTCAGTGTGTTCGTGTGCACCTGGGCACATGTTCTCTAATTCTTTTAGGTCACTCTATCTCTTTCCACAAGGGGTCCAGTCACCATTTGTTCTAGTCTTTCAACCTTAAGAAAATACTGATGCCAGAAGCTGACACCTAACCTGACGTTTGATTTTTCTGAAGGACTTGTGTTACGGTTACACCTTAGGTCCTTCTCTTTCAAGTAAATATATAGATATATAAAAATATATATTTACTTGAATGCAAATTTCAACATTTACTGTTTTAAACATCTCAACCAATTTCCACAGGCTTGCTCATATTACTGGGTGTTGTATTTATTCTGGGCTCTAGTGTTTAGTTAAAAATCTCCCTTTGCTTAATGCGGTTTTGTGTCCTCTGGCAATATTAAGCTACCAGGCTAAATAACATCTCCTCCTCCTCAGTGTCTGCACCTTTCAAGCTCTTTCACATAATTAACATATCCCTCTTAGTCACTGTTTATTCAAGTTGTACATATTAGTTCCTTTAATATTTC